CCTCTATTTGTGCATATAAATGACATCTATGGCTTCATTAAGAATTGATTGGTTATTGGACTAAATCTCCATACTTTCTAGATATGGTATTAGTTGACCCAGTTGATCACTTAACATTGCAGTTTCACACCTCTCATTTGTTGCAGCTGAAGAAAGAATTCCCAAAGAAAAAGTTGCCCCCCGCTCCTTCAAAGGGGCTTCTGAGAATGCAAAGCAATGCGCTTTTGGAAGAAGTTAGTAACATCCTATTTCTATCGTTCTCTTTTAAATTTTAAAAAAATATAGTTGCATGATTACTTCAATCCTAACCTGAAAATTGTTCTTGAGGAATGAGCTGGTAATAGGTGGTTCTTTAATATGGAATAAATCTTGGTATGTGCTCAAGCTGGTTTCATCTCAGCGTAGGTGTTTATTGGAGGATTGGATGACGAAAGTATTGTCTGACATCGAGTTATCAAGAAGTGCTCGCATAGGGATCTTTCTTGAGCTTGAAGCAGCTGCAAGGTCATGTAGGTGTCTCCTTGTTCCTTGTTCAAGTCTTGTGTTTTTTTCCTTGTACTTTCACCAAACAGTTGAAAGTTGTGTAATCAACCAGTAGGCAATGATTTATCAACCAGATCTTTGTTGAATTGATGTAAACCTTTTTTTTCTTTTACGAACTTCTCAGCATTCTATGAATTGAATCAGAACGCTGCAGATGTGAATTCATCCATCAGCGTAGTTCCATTGATCCAATTCTCAAATAGTTCAGATGTTTCTTTGCTTGCTGGTCAATCATCATTTGCTTCTGATTGCGGCAATGATTCTGCTTATGGGACCCCTGAGTTGGGATCACCAACAGAGGGCATGAGCAGGTTCTGCGAACTTGACAACGCAGCATTTTACCAGGGTTTCACCCCTTCAGTTGAAGCAATTTCTGAAGTTGCCAGGTTAAAACATGGTGATAGCAAGCCAGCAAAAGATTCTGAACAAGGGAACCAGGAGAATCGTTTGAAAATGCCTTACACAGAAGATAACGGTGACGTTTCCGCCAAGAGAATCATAGATAATGCTCAAGTCGCATGCAAGGATGAGATGGAGCTTTTCTCCGGGAGAGAAAATCTTACAGCTTTTGGCCATGATAAACAGACTCTTGAAACTGACATTTCTTCAGAAAGAATCTCTGACCTCTCAAATTTCCTGAAGCTTGAAGCATTGAGGAATACCTCATATGACTCGGCTGAAGGTGCTGAACTTTTAGAAGGACTAAATGCACCGGCAAGCTCCGACTTACAGTTCCCGGGCCGCTTAAAAGTTGTTATTCAATTGGAAGAACAAACTAAAATGAATAGGATTCTTAGTGCTATGCAACTGAGGCTGGCCACAGCAAAAACTGACATGGAAGATCTCCTTATGAGACTGAATCAAGAACATGCTGTAAGACAGTATCTTGCCACAAAGGTGTGATTCTTAGTCCAAAATTCTGCAATTTAGACATGCAACGTTACATTTTTTTCTCTGATCCAGTTATCTTAGCTGTTCAGACCATGTAGTATGTAGAATTGTGAGATTAAGATATATTACTTTCGATAATAAACTACCGAGTATATTGTCGTACATTACTCAGCAAATTCTCTTTTGCTTACTGCAGTGATGCATCACGAGATGTCCTCTGTTTGCCCTTTTCTTATATCAATATTGGAATTAATTCTTTTAAAGTTTCCAGAATAACAATTGGTTCCAACAATGCCCCAGAAAAGCCAGTCTTCCCAACTTTTTGTCTTCTGCCATTCCTCTCCTCTAATATCCTATCCCTAGCTAAGCTCTCTAATGACAAGCTCCTTTCCTATGCTCATAAATTTTCAGCCCCTACATGTTCGTGATTTTTTTCTCCTTGCGATCCCACCACTCTTTCCTCACTGTCAAGAGAGCTTCATTCAGATATTTCCTTACATAATATGCCGCACTTCTCTCTTCCTCCTTATTCCATCCTAAGTATAGGTGGACAATAGGAAATAGGGTTATGAAAGGGCCAGGTAATTTTAACGGATATAATTAGCAAACATTTTACCACTTAGAAGCTTATCTCAACCTGTAGACCCATACTTATTTTAACGGCTTACTTCTCTATTTGATGTGTGGGAGTTATGTTACTCCTGGCTTCTCTATTTTGCGTTATGATAATGATGCTATGAATGTTACCATCTGGGTGGTCTTTGACAGGTTAAAGATTTGGAAATTGAGCTTGAATCTCTAAAACAGAGTGGCAAAGAGAACCTGCAGCAAGCAATTCAAATGGAGAGGGAAAACTTTACTCACATGCTATGGGATATGGAGGAACTTAGAAGAAAGTGTGTGGAGATGGAATTGAACCTGACGTCTGAACAGGTATACTGACACTCTCTTCTATTGCAAAATGGAATATTTCTTCTATATCTTGGACAGTGAGCAAGTTCTTCTTGAAAATTGTTAAGGCTTACAAGGTTCAAATGGAATCAACTCAAAGAATCACAATACAAGAGAATGAAAGAATGTACGAAGAGTTGAATGCTGCTCAACAGCAGATCAATAGCTTGCGGAAACACCATTTGGAGTCAGAATCAAAGTCCAAAGCAGATGTCAAACTTTTAATCAAGGAGATTAAATCTCTACGAACTTCCCTGACAGAACAGAAGCAAGAGCTCTGCAAATTGGCAAAAGAGAAGGCAGAAGTAGAAGTAATCATTCACTTGATCAGTTCTTTACTAATGCATAGTCATTCTTTAAATGAGCTGGATGAGTAAAAGTGTAGTTGATTGTTTTGTTTTTAAGGTCAAACCAAGGGTTTTTATGTGCTTTTCACATTCTGTTCCTGGGGGGAGGGTGAGGTTGTAATTTTCTTCAAAAAACCATCCGTTACTTCAATAAGCTGTGCTTATGGTAATGTTGCTTTCTTTCAGAGGATTCTAAAGGAGGAAAGGCAAATTAGGGAACGTGCTAATGCTGCAAATATTAAGCTGCTGCATGAGTGTGAAATTGTTCGCAATAGACTTGAGGAATGCAGCGTCAGTTTCCTCATCGAGGAAGAAAATAAATTGGTCCTGGAGGCATCTAGCCCTTCTGATGCCATTGATATACTGTCAACATCTGATAATCGAATAGGTCTACTTCTTGCTGAGGTATGTCTCTTTCCTTTGTGTGTTTACCTTTGAGTTACTCTTGATGGGCTTTCCTAAATTCTCCAAATTGTATACATTTTCTCTAACAGAAGTACTCTACATACAATTTTTGTTCTACTTATCAAAAAAAAACATAGTACAATTTATGCTCTACTCAAATGCTTGAGATCATTTACGTCTCTTCCTAAGGTATAGATAGACATCCCAAACATCTCAGCAAAAGGAGAAATGAATACGAAGGAATTGATTTCCTGCCCTAAATGGTATTATTTGATTGAACAATTGGAGTAGGTTATAAACATTTCTTTTGCAGCTTGTGTGGACTGAGCGTTTTTTTTAACCGGGTTATATGAGATAATATCATAGTATTATATCGTGTAGAGCCATTTTTATGTTGACCTACCAAACTAGCAATATGAATGTCCGAGATCCAACCCTATGTGGATGTCTATCAGAATTGACGAGCTATCCTTTACTTGTAATGTAATGTGTAACATAATTGGGTTATATCTTGCACTTGTACGACAAGAGTGTGTTGCTCTAGTGGTGAGCACCCTCCACTTCCAACCAAGAAGTTGTGAGTTCGAGTCACCCCAAGAGCAAGGTGGGGAGTTCTTGGAGGGAAGGAGTCGAGGGTCTATCGGAAATAGCCTCTCTACCCCAGGGTAGGGGTAAGGTCTGCGTACACACTACCCTCCCCAGACCCCACTAGTGGGATTATACTGCGTTGTTGTATCTTGCACTTGTACCTTATGTTGGTTGCCCGTGTCATTATGATAATGAGAGAAGCTATATGAGCATGTTCATTCTTTCTACTTACACGGCTCACGTACACAAATAGTCCTCAAAGTGGATAGTCTTGAATTTTTTTCTCCTGCCTGTCGCTTGCCCCATGGACAACACTTATCTTTTGACCTTGAAGTTCTGCCCCGTAGGGCAAGCGTATGTCAACAGTTAAAGACCACACCAAAAAGTATCATATCTGCAATTTTTTGCTCAACTTTTTCTTGACTTAAACAGGCCCAGCTGCTTGCAGAAGATGTTGAAACTACTATTGCTAGTAGAAATCTTGATGGAGGTTATTCAAGGACAGCAGTGGATGAATTGAGGAAACAGCTAGCTGATGTTTACGTTGACAATGCCAAATTGAGGAAACAGATGAACTCCGTCATTCGTTATGCACTCCAAACATCTAATAGATTGGAGGAGAATGAAGAAGAAAGTCTTCCAACAAAGACAGCTCTTACGAAGTTTTTAGAGGGATAATTTATAAAATGCAACACACGTATCTATAACATGTATAATAAGCTTGTACAATTTCTCCTCCTTTTTCTTCTACTTCTCTAATAACCTTGTATATATGGCTTACTCCTTCCACATCATGTAATCCTGACTAATTGGAAAATTGCAATTGAAGATGTAAGTTTGAAATAAAGCTTTCGAATGTGCTTTTTGAAATAAAGCTTTCGAATGTGCTTCTATAACCCAAGACTACAGAGAACCACCAGTATTTGTTAAAGACCGGTGATTTTTCACGCGACGTATAATTGTACTGTATAAGTGGTCATTGAAATGTTTTACCACACTCTGCAATACAAGTTTGTGCCACTCTTGAAAGTTCAAGAGCTTCTCGACTTCTCCACCAGGTGCAGCTCTATACACATACGCACGCTAGAGGTCAAAGAGCAACTTGGCTGCTCGTTATCAATCAACGACGAATGTCATCCAGTTTACAGATAATTTACATGGAGAGCCCTAAGCTTTAATAGCACTAAACAAGTTGAAGCTGCTCAAAAGGATGACTAACATGCCATCCTCCATGAGAAAGTATTTTGAAAAGATTGCACCTATAAAAGTGGATCATCAAAATCAAGTAGTGCAACCAATTATACCACATTTCATCATTCTAAATCAACCAAATTCACCAAATACATCTGATTCCAACAAATTCCAAAGATAGGGAATGACAGCTCTGGTTATATTCTTTACTACCAAACATGGATTGACAATGTAACTTCCCTATATATTTAACTCGTAAACTGTACTTTAATTGTGACCACAGTATTACTCTCCACCACCAAACATACCCATCATATCCTTCGCGGAACCCATTTGTTTCATCAAGCTCTGTAGACCACCCATACCACCTATCTGTTTCAACATCTGAGGGGGAAGAACTTTGCTCATGTTTTGTGCATTCATGTTTCTGGACAAGGAACTCATCTCTCCCTTCTTTGGAATCTTAAGCCCCTTCATCTTGCTGCATATCTTGGCAAGTCGTTTGTATTCTTCCAACATCTCCATCACCTCATGCACTAGGCGGCCTGATCCCCTAGCTATACGCATGATTCGAGATTCAGTCATAAGCTTTGGGTTGGTACTGTCCAATTCTGCAATTATGAAATCAATTTCAAATGAGAAGGTTACACATTATCTTAAGTGAGGTGTATAAATAGCTTAACTGAAACTCCATAAAATGTAGCTCACTTGCCTTCATTAGTCATGGAGTCCATCATCGTCATATACCGCTTAATTTTTGCTTGACTTTCCTTTTCGCGACCTTTTGGCATCATCTCTGCACTAAATCCGGGAAGCATTGAAAACACCTATACCACAAAAAAGGAACATCAATGATGTGCAACAAGAATGATGTCAATCAACCTCTAGAAGGACAAACAAGTAGGCATGCACATGCTTTGTAAAAGAAAAAAGACCCAAAGAGTGGGGGGAACAGCTGGCTGAGTTCCCATCCAATTAAACTAATGTTTCATGTGTTAAAAATAATTGTGGAAAGAAATTAATGCTCAGACTAGATTCAACTGATTTAAAATCCATTAATTTATTACCAAGAATAAGCATCAAGATGCTTGAAAGTCAGTATATCAATGTTTCCTCAAGATGCATCTAGTCTCGATCGTCAAGTCAACTTCAATCAAATATTGTCCAAAACCTTACAAAGTGTTTTCCAACTATTTTCAGTGGATATCAAATTCTTTCAACATTTTATATTTTTTTGAAGAAATTCTTTCAATATTTGGTGGCATTCGAAATCCTTTTGCCATTTAAAATCCCTACGGTTTTTGCAATGGATAGCAATATAGGAAATTAAAATCAAATACATTAATTTATTACCAAGAATAAGCATCAAGATGCTTGAAAGTCAGTATATCAATGTTTCCTCGAGATGCATCTAGTCTCGATCGTCAAGTCAACTTCAATCAAATATTGTCCAAAACCTTACAAAGTGTTTTCCAACAATTTTCAGTGGATATCAAATTCTTTCAATATTTTATATTTTTTTGAAGAAATTCTTTCAATATTTGGTGGCATTCGAAATCCTTTTGCCATT